AACATCATCAGCAACATATGTTTGAAAAAGTGATGAGTTAGTTGCATTCTCGCACAATTGATTGATGGCTTAATTGAATGACACATAATCTGACTGGTTGTTGGATTATTATCTAATGTTAATATTCGTACACTTATTTCGATTTCTATCTTACCTTCACGATCTGTTCTCTGTTTAACACTTAACTCACTGACTAATAAATTCAATCCAGTTGGATATGTCTGACGATTTCAAGCTGTTTTCTGATTTGTTCGTATTGTCTCCGTCTAATATTTTGACAATTTCCAAGTCTGATTCATTCCAACAGTCTTCCACATACATTGATATAAAGGAAGATATTTTGTAGGGTGCAACAATCACCTTGTGTTTACGTAACCAAATGTGAAGAGGGAAACCACATGGTTCCATATAATGTTTTCAACGTCTGTTCCAGCTTTCGTAGTGAATCAGACGTATTTTGATTTTTTTTCTCTCCTCGGATTGCAGCAGTAAGGGGACATTCTCAACGTCACTAGAGCATTGCTCAAAATTCATCCAAAAATTATAATCTCACCTAGTTATCCATTTGTGATTGTTCCGAAATGGCAGCTAATTTTGAAATATCTAATTATTAGTGCCGAAGAAATGTTTAACTAATTAAATATAAACTTTTAATAACAAGCTGGGTAACCTTTAGTGGATTGAGAGCAAATCAAAAAATTATTGGATATTTGTAGACTTTAAAACTGATGTTGTGATATATGTGTTGTGTATCGTTATTTGGGTTCAGTACAGTCTAAGATGTTATGGATTTAGGAACGAAAACGATTAAACTTCTCTAGTATTATCAGTTCTCTTCTGACATGACAACAGCCAATTATACTCGACATGTCAAACATCGACTGCCAAGACAGGAAAAAGACATAATTGCACATAACTTGATATTTGTGGTAGAACAAGCAACTCAAACGATAATGGTATAAAAATTGTTACTGTAGTAGCAGAATATGACCTTCGAGCATGTAGCAACTTGGCGAACTAGAAGAAGATGACAAACAATCTGAGGGCAAAGGCCACGCAGAAAATCGAATCGGTAGAAAGTATCAGAGCGGTTATATTTTCTAGTAAAATCTGACTATTCTTGTGACCTCCTCAGTATATTAAAAGATTTTTGAAACAACAATTAAAAATCGTGATGAAACAAAATGTTATTTAGGGTCTTACGCTCAGTGATCGTTTAAGTGTTCTTAAAGCCTCACTCGTTTTCCAAAAAGCGTTGTTTTAAGTCGGTCGTCAAATACCGCCGAAGTGCCGTCGTGATTGTTGATCATCGGATGAGATATCGCAATTGTGAGACTCGTGATTTTGGATTGTGCCGACCCAATCAACTAATAAAAGGGAAACAAACGCAAACGAAGGAGAAAATGCGTTGAGAAATAAAGGGAAAATAATGGAGACACGCGCCAAAATGTATGCTTTCTTGCCTGTCCATTGAAAATAACGCGGATTTCCCCCTTCATGTTGCTCTGTACTTCTTTCGAAGGAAAATCGACATGATTAAGGTTCCCTTCTAAATACACGGCTTGAGGCAACCACCGCTTTTGCTGTTGTTAGTCCCGTTCTTAACGATGATATTGAAGATGCCACAGGTATTTGGAATTTGACAACTCTTTAACCAGTAACACCTCCTAACATAAATCGCGTCCGCCTAGTGAAATCAAAAGTCAGAAGCGAGGAGGTTCGAAGATGTATTTGATAGGCTATCAATATATCGACAATCGACTGATCTAGACCGGCTAGCAGTCGCAAAGAAAGTTGAGCACAGTGTTCCTACACGTGATCTGATGAGCATGTATGACCAAGTGCCTTCAGTTAGATGAGTCCATTAAAACTAATATGGTCGGCATTCAATGTCAAAGACTTACAGATCTTTTGATCTTGGGAATTTATTTACCGCTACGATATAGTACATAGATTTACGCTGAAGATTTCTGAAGGGTCCTTTGTATGCTGGGTGGGTCACGACGTACAAAGACGTGTGTACTGTATCGTAAGTCATGTTGAAATAGAACATCAGTTGATTGCAGTCGAGGGGAGGTAGTTTTAACTGAACGCACGGTGTTTGTAAGCCTGTTCGTGAAGGAGTTTAGATCCATATTCATTGATTAAGATAAAAGATCCACGAATTCTCCTGGAAGTCGAAATGTCGTTCCATAAACGAGCTGAGTTGCAATGTGTCCAATGTCAGCTTTCACTGCAGTGAAAATACCAAGTAAGAACAGTTCACGAATTGGTGTACCAGATCACGTCGGGCTCACCACTAAGGATGCCACAAGTAGTCAGAGTTTGACAACGCCGTAACCAGCATCACCTTTTATAATCGGATTATGCCAAGCCAGTCAAATCAGAAGTCGGAAGTGAAGAGGTTCGAAGATATAAGTGAATAATCTGAGCTGGCTAGCGGTTGTAGGATATATGTAGCACGGCATACCCACTTGTGATCTGGTGAGGATTCGTGACCGAGTGCCTTCAGATTGGTGAGTCCAATAAAACTAATGCAGTCAGTATGAAATGTCGAAGACTTACAGAGATTTTGATTTTGGTGATTTATATACCTTTACACTTTTCCTCATTAATTTTATTGTGGAACAGCTGCTGATAATAAACAAATTGCGTTCAATTACACTGAAAAACTTTGGAGCTGTCTGTGATTCATGATCGCCATATCGATTTCAGATTAAGTTGTTTTCAAATCAACTAACAATCTATAATCCGCTGTCTTGAGTAGAACAATCCAGTTTATACGATTCCCAAAATCACAATTTTTTTAAAATACATTGTGTTATTAACAAGTATTAAAGTAGATTGTATCCGTCAGATCAATTTTCCAGCCTCCAAGCTTAAATATCACGTAATTCAAATGATATGAAAAGGCATAACTGACTTCATAAAAACACCGATGACTGTTGTGACTTTGAATAACTTACCATGTCACTGATATAAACAAATGGATATAAATAAGAAATTCATCTGACTATGGCACTTTTATGCTATTTCTGACGATGCATTCTGTAGGGAGACATCGACAGTTTCTCTGCATAGCCTCTAATAAATAATAAGATTATATAAATCAGTTGAATAATCGATGATCTCTACGAAATTCCAAAGAAATATGGATAGTGATTGATCACATCTTTCTTCATCTTGATTGAACTAATCTCGAATTCGTTAAAAATTCTAACATGTTTTCCCAATACTCCTACAACATCACGGTGAAATATAGTTCTGTAAACAACCATATAATTTAACAAACAGTCTATTTTTCAAAGTGAAAATTGTAATGTAGTCCTTGGGGTTCATGATTGGAAGACTTCTGGTGACTAGTCAATAGTTAATTAGCCAAAGCAATATGGAGTAAGATTACAGTTTATTAGTCTGTATCGAATTATACACTTGCGCGATTTATCACCATCATTAGATGATTAGTTTATTCCGACGTTTTCAGTTATTATCATCCCATTTATATATGTGACCATGAGCATTTGTGCATGATAGTTATACTTGTATCTTTCGTGTCTATAAGTTTTGAGTCATATTTTAACCAAAATGACAACCATGTTCCCCTGTTTTTTCTCTTCTTGACTTTATTCACTAACAAAATATGAGAAGTATGTGATCAAAATTTTACTCGTACCTGACATAATCTAAATCTCTACAAAATGGATCACGTTAACTTTTTCTTTTACCTACTCAAACATATTTCTTTTACTCACTTTTTATTACTGACAAATATATTAGTAGCTCAATTGTACTCTGGAATATCCATTTGTGATTTAGCACGTTTTTTCTAACATTATTTTAAATAATCACAAGAACACTTTCATTGTTAATAATTGCTCATCAGAAACTTGTCAAATGTTATTGTAAACTATAATTTTTAAGATGAATAAACAAATGCGGACAGTCATAAGTTGATTAGCAACATCTTCGACTGTATTGAATCTACATAAGAACAGGAATCAGAAAGTACTTCCATCATTGTATGCTTTATCTAAAGTAACAAACACATAAATTTTGGTCGCACAAGTATAAAGAAATTCAAGTCATCAAGATCAAATGCTAAACGTTAATACATCAACAGAACACAGAAACAGTTGTGTCTAGATGATATTCAAGAAGAGTCGAAAACCATTACAGAACTCACACGACATGAGAAATTAAAAAAAACGCATCATTAGTTTGTCTTCATTAAAAGTGTCCATCTCGTTAACTTCGTTAAAAAGTCTCTGAATAAATGAGCTAGCATCTGTAACTGGCCACCTAGACTGGTGGCCACATTGCAACTTGGTCGACGGCATTCGATTTGCACCAAGAAGGACTTGACACAAATGACACTGATCACCAACCAGTGATCAATCAATTGTGATTTTTATTTGTCTAATCAAATTTACAAGAAGGAGGGTTAGGCATGGGATTAGTGACTCCATGTCATAGAAAACTAACTCGCTAAGAAAACGCCCACCAGAGAAAATATAATTTAACCTGTTCAAACTCTGCCCTGGGAGTTAGAAGGTCTTCATTTGGAAAAGTTATGAAGCCGAGTTCCTTCGGAATTCACAAGGCTAATGCTACTTCTGACAACCATAGTAACGATTAATTCATGTACATGGAGTACTCGTACAATGTGAAAGACTGGGAGAGTCTTCTAATTACTACTGGAGAAAGAGAAATACAAACACCTTTTTCTATATAAAAAAAGTGGATATTTTAGTCTTCAAATAATAAATGAATAATCATTTCATAATGTCAAAATTCATTAACACATTTATTGTCTATATATAAAATACAAATTGCGCCATATGGTTCAATGATAGCCAATCACAATTCAACAAGATTTTGATTGGTCAATTCACTTAAATGTTTATTATTTATTAAATAATTAGCCTAAGGGGTGTTACTTCAATATGATTGGGTAAAAAACATTGAAAACTAATTCCTCCTTTAAGAAAGATAAATTATAATTTTGATAACCATTAGAGTTATTTTAGAATCATATTTTATTTCTCTTCAATTCATGGAACTTTCTTATTTCATTCAATATTTGATCATTTTAATAAGTTACATTAAGTTGATCTATTCAACAACAGAGTTAAATCAACAACAACAATTAGATCGTTTAGCAACATTTTCATTAAAATTTCTAGAATTTCATAATCATGCACATCGACGTATTGATGGCAGTTGTTGTGGTCGTCCTAAACAATCATTATCTTCATTAGCAACTACTACAAAAGTAGAAACAGAAATATGTAAAGCAGAATGTGCATTAGAATTTCGTATTTGTATTGAACCTTATACAGTAATTAATATATTATCGAATAATACAAAAATTTATAATGGTCCTTGTATGTACGGTGAAGTATACACTGGTCATTGGGGTAATACAGATATTACATATGGATTATTAGAAGCTAGTGTACATTCTATTGGAATTATACATCCATGGCCGGTAAGTTAATGACTGGTTTATCATAATATTAAGTTTATTTTATGAATATTATGCCATATTTGAAAGGGATTTTAATAATAGTAAATTAATCTAAGAGAATGATTGTTGAAAAATGTATGCGTTAATTACTTCAAAGTGTTTGAAATCATGTTTATACATAGAGAATGAAATTTAAGATATATTCAAGTTACTCGAAAATAAACAGAATACACCCATTAAGACATTAAATAAAAAAGATTAGTTCAGCGAAAAGTTCTCTCATTTTTGACGAATTCATTTTCAAAGCTGTATAATCGCAAATATATATACTTATTTTTACAGGATGATAATAACACTGATAATGAACTTCTGTTATACATGGTGACAGTGAGACAATTAAACTGCATGTTCTTTGTATTGCCCTAGTAATAGTCATACATCTGGAAAAACCAGAGTTGTGTGTGCGAAACAGACTGGTACAACCTCTTCTTCTACCATGGTCCCTCTTTTTTCATACTCTTGTTCCTTTACAGACATCTGCTTCACCTTCCATCTTCCCTTCAAATCTTCTATCCCCAACCGGTTAGTTTTTATTTCCACGATTATTCCGGTTACATTTCATCTCTGTTTCGACATTTTGTTTCATCATGCTAAGCTATCCTTTCCCAATGATAATTTCTCTATTTATCTTTTGATGAATACTTAAGCCAATAATAATCAAACGTTTATTAATCTTTCCTTGTTTTTTAAAAGAAGTTTTTAATAACTTTGTTTGTTTAACCTCAGTGTCACCATTTCTAACCGAAGTTTATTATCAGCATTATTATAATCCTGTAAAAGTAAGTATATATATATATGTACAACTTTGAAAATGAATTCATCAAAAAAGGGAGAACTCTTCGCTGAACTAATCTTTCTTACTCGAAAATCACAATAAATTTCATTTACTGTATTGCTTCAAATTACCGTTATAATTAATTTATAATCTAACAAGTCGATCATTCTATACCCTTAATATTACGCATCATATTTGAAACACGTTTCAACTTTGTCGATTAAAATTTTTTTTAAAAAGCAAAAACAACCATTCACATTAATAAAAACGTTATTCAACCGATATTCCTTCTGGTTGAATTTCCTTAAAAAAACAAAAGACTCCATTCAGTGATTGATTTAACTAATCACATTTGATGATACACAGTCACTAACTCCTTTTTACCTTTAGGTTAATGTTATAAATGAATAGGGAACTGATAGGATTCAATGCGTGAAAGTAAATGAACGCACTAAATGAGTATTAAATTATACACTGAAAATAATTCAAAACCGTATATGAATAAATTGACTTTTATATGTTTCAATTACATTGTTCGGTAGTCCAATTTTAATAAACCATACTGAGTAGTCTTATTCATATAAATGGGTATATATAATAAGCATTATGATAGGATTGAACTGTTGTAACTAATTCACTAAGCTATATGATCTATTCGTTCTTAACATCGCCCTACTAAGTAGTATTTTATATGAGTAGCTCATCTATTACTTACTTACTTTCTCCTGTTAGTCCTCGTGGAGAAGCATAGGTTGCCTACCAGCAATCTCCATTCAACCCTGTCCTGATTAATCCTTTGCAAATCTTTCTAGTTTTTATTCATCTTTTTCATATCTGCTTCTATTTCCCCACGTAATGTGTTATTCCTCTTCCCCGCTTCTCTTCAGGATTCCAAGCTAGTGCTTGCCTCGTAATGCAGTTTGACGATTTGCGTAATATATGTTCTATTCATTTCCATTTTTTTTACTTCTGCTCAACATGAGCTGTTACTTACCTTATTTCTAATTTGATTCTTAATGTTTCGAAAGTAAGATCCTGATCAATTGAAAACATTCATCATTTGTAAATATTTCTAAGAAGTATTTTATGCATGTTTGATAAAACCATTTTGTACAGAGTAGTATACTTATGATATCTATTAAGTGATAGGTATAAATAGAATCAAGTAGAAATTTATGTTCTGAATATTTGAATCACACTTTTACATCTGATTTGGCTCATCAATGATTGAAACTCTCAGCTTATACTAAAAAGAAGAGGGGGAATCTGTTGATCGGGTCATTAACATACATTAATTAAGATTATGGGGACCACTTGTCTGTCACTATCTGTCTTTAACCTACACGACTGACTTGAATAAGAGTTAGTTATAATTTAAAGACACTATCAAACTAGAATAGGTAATAATAACAGCAGTTGACGAGGGAAATGTCTTCACTGGTCTATGTACACTGTTCGGTGGAAACATTTTTGTTTGGCGTCTATACGATTCAATGCTAATCTTTAATTGTAGACTGTTAGTCATTTCGTTCAAAATTTATTTTAATGAAGCAAATGAATACATTCACTATGTTTCTTCAAAGTTCAAGTCTTATTACTATTATCTTTACTATCGTTCTTTGATACCACATAATTTGATAGTTGTAGACAGTTCTTAGGAAAATTACTAAAATCCAAGATTTTTGCCAGTTAGCATTTGTCATAACTAGAGTTTTAAAAACAAACCGATACTCCCTCTGAAGTTCTAATTCACATTGCCCAATCTCACTGTGTTAAGGTGATAAAACAGAGTTATCCATGCCATGACTATATTTACCGTAGTCCATTCAATGTTCATCCATATCGATGTTCAATGCATTCAAATTGTTTATCATAGTTTCTCAGCCAACCCAACATGTATCCTCACAATATATATTTATATAATTTGTAATTAACTGCATGATAATCTGTTTAGGATGTACACATGCCAATAGAAACTGATAAATTACATTCTGGATTATCAATACCAGGACAATTTAAATACCAATATTTTCATTATCCCTTCAACGAGTAACTGAGTGTTTACATTCGTTAGCTTAATGAACAATCAGTTGACGTTTAAAGCAACAGTTAGTAGATTCAATTGTGAATCTGAACAACAACATTGTGACATGAAAACATCCAGTAGAATAATAGTGAATGAGATAAAGTATTCTTCTTAACTTCTACTAATATACAAACTCCAAATATAGTTACTATTGACTCTAATAATGGCTTGAATAAAATTACACAATATAACGATATTGTTCTTACACTAAAATTCGACAAGTTGTTTGTCCCATAATAGATCTTCAATACAATTCTTATCACTAACTAACATACACTTCACTCATAAATCCTTAAATCGAATACAATTTTAATATTAAGTAGAGTATTAAAAAGAGTTTTGGAAAATTAGAAATAAAATTATCATTCAATTCATTTAGTATTATATACTTGAATCCTTCCATTGGTTCGAGTCCTAGAGTGAACATTCAGCCGATAAGTCCAAAATAGGACGAAACTCGCTTTCTGAATTCCACTGCTAGCCACTATCCATCTTTGCTTAAAATTATTATTATTATGTATAAAACTGTTAAATATATGAGTTAGGTTTCAACTTGATTATTATACACTATCTATAGAAATAGGAATTCTAATTTGATACGTTTAGTTCCTTTGATAAATTACGATAATGCAATGACAAGATGAAGTTTATCAGAATTATATGACGATATATTTGCGCAAAACACGTACATAGGGAGGAGCAATCGTGATTTGCAATTAAGGATGGGTAAACACATACCAAAATGGCTGCAGAAACAAGTGAATTGCAATGATCAAATAAGATCACAGGATATACAGACATCATCCTCCATTGCGAAACATTTGATTGAGACTGGTCATAAGGATGACATTAAGTCAGCGTTTGTAGTGTTATACAAAAGTCTTTAAGGGATTTTTTTTCAGATTTATTGAAGTCTTGGCTATACGGAGACTGAAACCCCCTTTATGTATTCAAAAACAATTTGTTCTTGCTCTTAACCTACCCTAGTAATACTGATTTACTATCCAGAGTGGTTATCACATTATAAGAGATGGTTAGTGATTAGCAGTGGGATCCAGGCAATACTCTCCGTCCTACTTCGGACTCGAACCCAGTACCTTTCTCTCCAAACGACATTACGTTATCCTTTTGGCTACTGAGTCACATTCTTCTCGTGTACTTTTTTTTCTTTGTTGCAGCTTACCTTAAACCTGTCTAGTTAACCTATTAGTTTTCATACAGAAATGTCTTAACAAGTATATGATGTGTGATCAGATTGTTCGAAATGTATTGCGCAAATATATCATCACATAATTGTAATAAACTTCCGTCTACTTATCGCATTATCGAAACTATAATTTTTACTCTATGTTATGAATATACAAACATTTCTACGGCTCGTTACAAATGATACTTGAATTTTACTCATTCGTCCAATCTTGATTGACTTATTACTCACCAAACTGTACTTTTACTCAAGTCTATTTTGTGTATACCTCAAGTGGTAGTCAAATAGGTCATTAACATGTAACTCACTCAATTCAATTTGATTTAGATAATCAATTCATAACAAAAATGGCCATCATTTCATTAATCTGATTCAAAGTTAAATAAATCAATGTATACTTGATAAATGGGTTGTATCTTGAATATAAGTTGTTTGAGTGATAAACTATTATGAACCACTGATAAATATACAAAATGTTTAACTGGGACTTTTTGTTTTTATACTGCACTTTACCATATAAACGCATACAACTAAGTTATTCACTCACTCAGTGACTCGATTACTTACTTACTTACTTACTTACTTACTTACTTACTTACTTACTTACTTACTTACTTACTTACTTACTTACTTACTTACTTACTTACTTACTTACTTACTTACTTACTTACTTACTTACTTACTTACTTACTTACTTACTTACTTACTTACTTACTTACTTACTTACTTACTTACTTACTTACTTACTTACTTACTTACTTACTTACTTACTTACTTACTTACTTACTTACTTACTTACTTACTTACTTACTTACTTACTTACTTACTTACTTACTTACTTACTTACTTACTTACTTACTTACTTACTTACTTACTTACTTACTTACTTACTG